GTTCCAATACCAACTGGCCTACCGTCTTCACCCGAATAACTGTATTTGGCACAACTTGCAGCCCAGATACGGCGATAATTACCTGGCATTCTATTCGAGTGAAGACGGTAGCTCAGTTGGTATATTGGTACACCCCTGAACTGTTGAAATATGAACCCGAGTTCAAAATCCACTGGAAGCAGATGAGTGAAATGCTACAATTCTGAATTACCTAGGGCCGGTCAGTTTGATGATGGCCCTAAGAATTGTAGTAGCCGTCACCCTTTTTTTTTTCGAAAAAAAGAAAAAGGAAAAGAAAGTACCAATGTTTCTGCTGGACGCAACCAGAGGCTATAGCAGCCAGGAGAACTTCCCTTTTCTCTGTGGGGTTGAGCTGGGGTTAGGGAAGAATGAGGGCCACTGCAACATCCTTGTAGTGGTGGGGTGGATATCACGACCGGTAAGATTCCACTTTTGAACACCATGTCCTGGCTGTAGTGGTTAAGAGACTTGGCTCTTGAGGCCGAGGTCGCCGGTTCGAATCTGTGCATGCACAGAGGAGGGCTTAGGCTGGGACCCCACAGGAATGCGGAAAGGAAAAACTTTGCCGCAGAAGTGTTTCCGGGACCCCACAGCCTGCGTATAATGCATTGGAAAGCGGCGAATTCTTTCCAAGGACCGTCTTCCGGGACCCCACAGGCCGCGTTTTTTTGGCGTGGAAGGTAGCAGTTGGACGTTTTCACTCCGTCTGGGTCCTGGAAAAGGCCCTCGGGAGGAAAGTTCGCCGCAAAAATGTGCCGAAAGCTGAGACTGACCTCGGGGGCTGTCTTGCACTTTTCCAAGGCCTGGTCCGGTTTTCGGAGCGCGTAATGTCCATGCGTGCCCCCGACAGACATTGCTGCGGCCGGGCAGTCGTGGAGGGAAGTGTCGCACGGTTTTCGTCGGTCCAGCGGGCGCCTCCCGGACAATAAAAACTTTCCCTTTTCGGCCACCCCAACGGCCCTTTCCTATTTCGGAAAGAAACATCGCAGCTTTGCTGCGAAACGGCCTCCGCGGTGGGATCCCGGAAAAATGAGTTTCCGGCTTTCCAAAAACTCTTGCCCTCTCTTTGCGGCCGACCGGCTTTTCCATCCGCATCGCAGTGGGGTCCCAGCCTTAGGCCCAGACGTACAGAATCCATACTACAGTGGAAGCGCCCGTGAACCGCAGGCATTGATAAGTCCCGTCTGTGTGAGCGGGTAAGAGTACCAGCGGGGGTTACGTACTGACTACAGAGTGAAGTGTACCAGAATTGCCGTGTCCGTGGGTGTTGTGTGTGGTGTGTGTTGAGTTGGACACTGCAGCCTTACAGGGGTGGGGTGGATATCAGGACCGGTACGATTCCACTTTTGAACACTGTGTTCTGGCTGTAGTGGTTTAGAGACTTGGCTCTTGAGGCAGAGGTCGCCGGTTCAAATTTGTGCATGCACAGAGGAGGACTTCAGCCCAGACGTACGGAATCCATAGTACTTACTCCTGTATGTCCTTTTAGCAACGTATTTTGGGCTGTCGGAGATGCTGGGGCCCTTTGACTCTCTGCGTTAGAAGTCGTCAACAGCAACACCCACTTCTCGTGTGTGTGTTTTTTACTTAGGACCAATTGGGTCCGCTCAGTTTTTCATTGGGCCGCAAGAAGACGGGCCCCGGTACTTGTTTTGTTTCCGTAGGTACCTCGGTTAAGAGCATTTTTTCGTATATATATCTGTGTAGGTCTGTCTACTCTAGGTCGTATTCCAGCCAGGTTTTGTGACCCCTGAAGACGCCAGACTGGCGACTGGTAGAAACCGGTCGGGTCTTATCGCCAGAATGTGTGCGCTATTTCGACGTTAATTTCAAAGCGCCGCCTGCGCTCGGAGTTGTGTCTTATCTTGTGTCTTTGTCTGTGTCCGCCATGTCGTGTGTCTTGACTGTGTCTTGACTCTGCGGTATGCTGTAAGTGCGATTTAGCACTCTTCATGTTTTTTACTACTTGCATGCACACAATAACCGACGTAGCAATAGTACTACGATCGTGTGGCTGTGCTCGACTGTTCATTATCATCATTATCATCATCATCATCATCATCGTCATCGTCACCTTCTTCGTCATCTTTATCGTTATCCACTTACTTTTTCTATCATCTATACCACTATTTCTATAACTATTATTTCTTTTTCTCGTCATGTATTCATATCCACCTCGAGGTCCGTGTCACTATTGTCACCAAAACGGTCACTGGATTCGTGATTGTCAGCTTCGTATCAACAACGAAGTTATCGGACATGGAGGAAATAATGGTAATTATGGAGGTAATGGTGCATCGTCGTCCTCCACGAATGGCGCTCTGACTTGAATACACCGAACGTGGCGGCCCCGAACAACGTTCAACAAGGGCAACAAGGCGGGCAACAAGGTGTTATTCAACAGCAGCAGAGTATTTTTCATCAGCCACAGAGGAGACCGTGGCAAGGAGGATATCGAGAGCAGGGAGGCCATCGTGAGCAAGGAAATTTTCGAGGGAGGGACGATCGTTTCGAGCGTATGTGGGGTTTCGTGAGCAAGGAGATGGAGGAGAAGGAACGATTGATGAAGGAACGAGAGAAGAAACAGAAGGAGGAGGAAGAGAAGAAGAGGCAGCAGGAGAAGGATGAAAAGAGGCAAAAGGAACAACAGGAGAAAGTAGATTTTCAAGCGAACTTGGGAAAATTGATCAAGAGATCGATGGTGGAAGTATGTGAGTCAATTTTGGGCAAGAAAGTTGCCCCTACGGAAAATGTCTGCGTTGAAATCGATATCGAACTTCGAAGGCAGGCGATAGCCGCTGGGAAGAAGCCTATGCAAGAAGACAAACAGGAGTCGGAGACTGAAAGATTGAGAAGAGAGAACGAAGAGATGAAGATTGCTATGAGGATCAGTTTTGCAGACAAAGAAATTGATTCACTCAAGCAAGAGAATGCTGCACTCTCGAGAGGTATTATTGAGTTGAGAGAAGAGATCAACGCTCTGAAGAAAGGAGAGAAGAGGAATGCAGGAGATGTGATGGAGAAGAGTCCACCGACAGAACCAGCACGTGCAAAAGTAAGAGTTGCAGATCGCGAACTTACCCCATGTGATATCGCCAAGATGGCGGATGCCTATCGGAGATTCCGCGATGACAAGGATTATGCCGAACGTGAAGTTGCTGCCCTGAAAGAACGTATTAATCGGTTAAAGGTTCGAACATCTCCACCGGTTGTTAGAAGGAGGTTTGCATTAAGGAGTGCACAACCAACTAACCTACGGAAGAAGATGGCTCTATCGGTGGATGAGCTGGAAGAGGACGCGGATGCTGAGAACAACCGCCCGAAGATCAGATTTGAAAAGCGGGGTGAGGAAAACAGATCATCGTTCACAAAGAGAGTGTTCCTGGAATTAAGCAAGCTACGCAAGAGTGAAATCGGAAAATTATGCTTGCAAGAAGGGCTCGCATACACCACTATTCGAGGCTCAGCGGCTGATTTGGCCGAAAGGTATGCAAGTGTTGCGTTCCCTAGATTACGACGAGTCATAAGATTGGAAGAAGAAAAGGAGGGAGAAAAGAATGATGACCAATCAATTGATTTGGCGGCGGGCGAACCGAGCGATCGTGAGGAAGTGAATTCTGATTGCTAGGTAAGCTCTCCGAGTATGGGTGTTTTTCGTAATGAGTCGAGTTGTGGAGAATTGGCTTTGACTTGTCGAGATATGAAGAAGGATGGATCGTTTTGGAGGGAAGGTAAGCATGGTGTTATTTTCAGATTAGTCGTCCTACTTATGATCGTCAACTTTCAGATTCCTTTAACAAGTTCGTTCCATACATCTCTTCTCTTCTTACTGGTGGATATGATGTTAGTCAGTGTCCAGGCCCTGTTATTTATGCTTTGGTTTCTCCATGGTGTAGGCATGTCTACGTAGGATGTACTTCGAGAAGTTTGGATGTCCGATGGAAAGAACACCTTCACATGGCGAGAGAAGGTTGTTCAACAAATATTAGAAATCACAAGTTGTATCGATGGCTAAGGACACACGACACATCTGATTATGTCGCTATTCCATTGGCAGTTTCCACTACGTTAGATCTTTTATCTTTGGAATCTTTTTTCATTCGAAGTTTTTCGCCTTTTCTGAATTCCAAATTTGTTAGGCATAGAAAGCATCGGACGTGCCGACCAGGCAAACGTGAACGTCGGAAACAACAATTTCGCTTGGGATCTACTCCTGTCGGGTCTCTATCTGTCTCCACAAGATCTCCAGTTTCATTTTGCTCCTCGTTAGGAATTTCCTCCATCAATCTCATCTCGATTCTTGATCATGCTTTTAAGTTAAAACAGTCGAGTTTTGCTATTTCTTGCCCTGGGGGTCATGATTTTTGTGATGTATGGAAAGTCGTTAAAAGACTGTATGGTTCCTCGGTCATTCGGTCGTCGTTAGGCCAAGATCTTTTGAAAAACTGTCGTGAATGGTTTGCTGGGTCAAACGAAGTACGGATAGTGAAGTTGTTGCGTTTCTGTTCCCGTTTTACGGAGGTAAAAACTGCCCTTTCGAAGTTACTATCTAAGCCAGTTACGAGGAAGAAGTTGTATTGTTCATCGCTTGAAAGACTTGTTAGGCTGTATTTGTGCATTAGGAGTTTTTCAAGAAAGTCGACAAGGTCGTCACTTTGAAGTATTATTGGAAGGGTGATCAAAAATAAGTTTGATATTAGGATTAGAATTAAACCAGTTGTTCGTCTTACCTATGATTGTGAGATTTCTAAGAATTGGGTACGTAAATTGCTTGTGCAGACAGTACGAAGTTCGTCTATTCGTAAACCTATCCAGGTTATTATTTGTCGTACAGCTAAAGTTGTGTGGACGAAGAATAAGTCGGTTGGAGATATTCTTTTTAACTTTAGACACTTTTCTAGGCTATCTCAGGTTTCGTGTGTTTGTGAGGGCTCAGACTTTCCAAGGATCGGTGAACATGTTGCCTTCCGTTTGAGTGAATTCAAGGATGTCCCTTCTTTTATGCGGAATTCGAAGAATATTCCAAGCCCAGAATTGAAATGCGATCTACATAGAGTTAAGAAGGTCATTCTTCGCTGTTTGGAGGAAGTCCAATTTGATACTAAGTTGTTTACTATTTCAGAAGAAGATCTTAGGAAATGTGTAATCGTTAGAACAGATAAGAAGGAAGCAGGTTTTGATCAACGATTAGTTTTGGCATGGAAAGAAAGGTTTCATGGATATGTGGTTTGTCCCATTGATCACAATCTAGGGGACACTTTGGTGTGTTGCCCCTCTTTTTATGAAGTTGGTATGCACAAACTGTTTCTGAGTTGTAAAGGGTTCGAAGTTCTGAAGGCAACCGAAGATGTGGTTATAAAAATGATGTCACAGCGGTTTGAGCAAGGAAATTTCAGGACTATTGCGAGATTTGATCGATGGGTACGCTTGGTAAGGTATATTGCATACTGAAACACAAGGATATCTATCGCTGGCGACCTATCTGTCCTTCTCACTCGGATCCCACTACCAAGGCATATCGTATTGTTTCTAAAGCGGTCAACTGTTTTCTCTGGTCCCTTCCATCGTCTTCGAATTTCAACCTTAAGGCTACGAAAGACCTCAAGTCTAGATTAGAGGAGATTAATATGTCAATTAACAATGAAGAAGAGGTATTAGCTGCTAGTTTCGATGTCAAGGAGATGTTCTCTGCTCTCCCACATTCTTCTATAGTCAAAGCGGTTGAATGGGCTGTCGGTATGCATGAAGAGAATGGTTTTTCAGATGTCCTCTATAAGAAGAGAGGGAAAGGTGTTGTCCTTTCAAAGAGGAAGACGGTCCCTGAAGGATGGGGACGATTGAAGTTCAACAAGATGCTAAGCTTCGTAAATTTTGATCTGTCTTGTACGTACGCCTCTGCAATGGGTGTGGTTCTGTGACAAAGGATCGGTATTCCCATGGGTAAACCATCCAGCCCAGCTCTAGCCTGTCTACTCTGTGCCTTCAACGAGTACGAGTTTCTCTCTGGTCTTGGTTCCTCTAGGAAGTTCTTTCATGGCATACGTTTAGTGGATGATGTTCAGTATTCACTTGTTTCGATCCGAGAGACAAGATGTCCAGGCTGGCTGCAGAGGATAGAATTCGGAGGTTCAGTGTTTCTTATGATAAAGAGTTGGTATTAGAAAAGACTAGTGAAGGCTGTGAATGGGATTTCCTGGGATGCATTTTGAAGGTTTTCCAAAATCCAGCAAGGATTTTGTGCGCCGCAACACACAAGAATGAGAGAACCATCTTGGATGAAGGAATCATCTATCAGAATCTGCGAGACTGCATGTCGTATTCACCTAAGCAACATCAGATGGCGGTTCTGGGTGCTTTTCTACATAGACTTAAAGATTTGAACTACATGCCTGGCGCAGACTCGTGTTTTCTGTTTACTTTAAAGATTCAATTAGGATTACGAGGTTTCCCGGATGAATTCTTTGATCGAGTCACTTGTACGTTATCTCGACGGTTTAATAATAGATGGGAAAGATGGGTTAATTGTATTACTGGATGGTCCAAGTTTTTAGGAGTACGGAGACCGGCTTCGGGACATATTACAGACATTTATTTCTAATGTGTGTGTTTTTTACTTAGGACCAATTGGGTCCGCTCAGTTTTTCATTGGGCCGCAAGAAGACGGGCCCCGGTACTTGTTTTGTTTCCGTAGGT